GTTCCCCTTTAAAAGATCCAAAAAAGTCCGCGACAGCATATGTCTATATGTTAAGGTTGGCTCACTATAACGTTTTTTATGCCGTCCAAATTTGTTCTAAAATAAAGCATTATTTGTAAACTATTCCACGCGGACGTTGTCGCGGTCAAAAGCTAGTTATATATATAGACGAGGAAGGGTAAAAAGTTTATGCTTTGCAAAATGTGGCTTGCATCTGTCGGCTATTGCTAATCCAAACATAGACCTTAAACACCAAACTTTTAAACTTTAACGCTTTTAACTTATATACAACGAACCGCTTTTTTTTACCAATATTACATATGTAATGGTGTTAGCATTTAGTGTGAAATCAATGTATATGTTACCCGTAATCTATACTAATATATAAATCTACAGTGGTTTTTACGGATGTTCCATTATAACTATTGAACCATGCATCCGATTGACTTGAAACTTGGTATCCATGTAGAAAATACATGTACTTAATGGATAGGCTAATATTTATATGAGTGTTGGACTCCCTAATAATAATGACAATAAATAATAATGTTAATTTTAAATGCCCAGCGAAGCGGGCGAGAATACGGCTAGTGATGTATAACATGGTTGGTAACCAAAAAATAAAATATAAAATTGATTCATGTTCAAAATATTTTGATTTGTTAAGATTATTAACATAAATAAGTAAAACGAACTAATTCTAAAATCTAAATCATTTCTTAAAATGTTTGAGCTTCTAGTTATATGAAAATGAAAGTCTGTTTATAAGTAAAATAAAGAAAAAAAATCTATGACAATGATTGAACCCCACCACTATACTCTCCACTACCTTTGGTTGATTGGGTAGAGAAAGTCTTAGGCATTAAGTCCACCAATGTAGATTTTACATGAAGTGTAATAAATAAATAAATAAATATCGATATAATTAAATGTCTCTAAATGTCGGATTAAATGTTCACAATTGACTTCCACGGTGAAGGAATAACATCGTGTAATAAAAATGAAACCCGCAAAATTATAATCCGCGTAATTACTGGTGGTAGGACCTCTTGTGAGTCCGCACGGGTAGGTACCACCGCCCTGCCTATATCTGCCGTGAAGCAGTAATGCGTTTCGGTTTGAAGGGCGGGGCAGCCGTTGTAACTATACTGAGATCTTAGAACTTACTCAAGTCCATCGTCCACCCATCTAAGCAATAAAAAAAATATCTCTCTCAAACCAAATAAATAGCCTTCGTCACACAATATCTATTTAATATAGTTCCGAGTAAAATTTTCTATAGACATATTGTATTCTACACGCGTTTCGCTCGACTATGCACTTTCGCGTGTGTATGTATGCACGTATATGGTGAAATTGGCCTCGATACAAACGCGGAGAATGAGAAATAGCTTTATAGTTAGGCCTTGCGGTGGCAAAAAGAATATAAAAGTCTTTAGTCCTGCTCCCTGAAGCGCATTCCTCGTCTGAGGATCGTGACCATCTTTTTTTTATTGCTTAGGTGGGTGGACGAGCTCACAGCTGGTGTTAAATGGTTTCTGGAGCCCATAGACATTTGTAACGTAAATGCGCCACCCACCTTGAGATATAAGCTCTAAGGTCTCCGTATAGTTACAACGGCTGCCCCACCCTTCAAACCGAAACGCTGCTTCATGGCAGAAATAGCAAGGGCGGTGGTACCACCTACCCGCGCGGACTCACAAGACGTCCTACCGAAAGTAATTACACAAATTATAATTTTGCGGGTTATGATTTTTATTACACGATGTTATTCCTTCACCGTGGAAGTCATAAAAAGTCTTTAATCTTTAGTCCGCATCTTGCAAAAAAAAAACTCAAAACAATGATACCAGTTTCTGTCAGACATTTTGGCGGGAACTCGACCAATGAAGCTTTGAAGTCGCGTGAATTGTGCGTTCATTTCGTTAATATAGTCTACAGACTTACGCCTGTGATAATGCGAGCTTTATTAATGCACGAAAGTCCGCAGATGTGGGAAAATTAAGCAATGTCGTCGGACGTGGCTTCTTTTGGTCTGCCAAGAACCAAACCTAAATAGTCTCAGTAAATAACCACCATTTTACTGAAACCCAACTTCATCTTGTTACAATTAATTTCATTCAAGTCCATGACGGTCTCAAATAAATCTACTTTCTTAAAACAGAATATGGATGTGTTTTTATAAATTCGACGCTGCCAACAATGGCGTCGCAAGAAGTTAATAATTGCCATACTTAAAAATAGAAGAAATTACCGTTAATCTAGCAAAAAGTAAGTCATCATTAACCGTTGTCACGACACGATAATTAGTTGTTTCATTATGACCTATTATTATAATATTTTTAAACTTTTTTCTAAAATAGGTATATTCTATTCTAAATCTTTAGTTACTTCAGATACACCTAGACAAAGCTTTGTTTATAGATATGAGACATCATTTATAATTACATCACAAGTATTTCCTTCCTATCAGGGTCTCTTAAAAAAAAACCTATAAATCTCGGAAACTACGAATGCTAGTGCTTAATGATTAATGAAATAAATTGTGTTTAGTAGACAATTAAATACTCCTTAAATTAAATTAAAACTTCTTAGTTACTGCAAGGTTATGTCATAAAAAAATCAAATTTGAAAAGGGGATACTTGAAGAAGGAACTACGAAATTATTGCATTTTCTTTTGCTTATGTTTCTAATCTGTCAATTAAGTGGGTATATAAATCATATTTGATAGAGTAAATAATAGGTCAAAATCAGTGTTGATGTTATCTGTGGCATGCAAGACGGAGTCTCTTAGACTTGCATTAATAATTTTTTTTGGCAATTGCCATTTACCTGTATATCGCGTCTTCGACAGACCCAAGTGAGCTACAAGGCAATTTAATCTAACGTTATTTCTCCCTAACTTTTCATGTAAAATGTTTGTTTGCTTTGTTTGATAAATGAATACGTACGTCTCTGGTTTCCTTTGCCGATATTCTAATTAGAAAAACACATAAAAACGATAAGCCCGCCATTTTCTCGCCGGCTTTCGGCTCCTTATCGTTGCCATATACATTCAGAACAAAAAAGGATTTTATATAAATACTTCGAAGCACTAGTGATATCTTATAACGGGAACATTTCTTGTGAAATGTCCACTTATTGAAACGCCTTCGCCCATTTTAGCACAGAAATTTGGCTTCTTTACGAATAAATCAAAACAATATCTACATTATTTAGCGTTAGTGTGTGACGTGTTTTTAGAATAACTAGTGGTTCCCCAGTAGTCGAAACTCGACTATAATTAATTGAAATTATAAGTTTGTACACTATTATGATTCTATTGTCAAAGACTATTAAACTTCTATAATCACAGATTTCGCTAACACTACTTAGACTTAGAAATATTGATAAAGACAAACAATATTTAATCTATTCTCAATTTGACCAACGACTATTAGCAATAAGAAAGGTTTGACAATAAACAAATAGTATGCATGCGTGTGTGCGTGTCAAATACACGGTAGTGTGTGTAATGGTTTTTTTATTGATTTAATGTATTCTTAAGGCATAATTTAAAAAAAATATTAGCATTGTGCACTCCTTCTCTATATTCTCTACAAGTGTGGGAAATTTCATACTCCTCCGTCCGCGCAATTTTCATAAAAAGGGATACAAAGTTTTTGCTTCACGTATTAATATATCGATTATTATAAAAGTTCTTTTGACATTAACTAAACTGCTTTTACGGATACAATTCGCATTGTAGTATATTGTCATCATATCGAGGGGATATTTTATTTACTTATGCGACATTTTTGCAACTTTACGGGAGGGCCATTTAAAATTCAAAATTGGGTAAAATATCGTAACAAAAAGCTTCTTTAACTATTTGAATGGAGCAAACTTGATTGAAGTTCAATTAAAACATCGAACTGTTGATGCTGATACCAAATAAAACGGACCTTTAATTACAAAGATAAATGTCGCTTAAACCAAACAACATTTCACTCTTCGATTTAGTTTACGTGACCTGACGAATAATTCGCAATTTTCGTGTTCACGGACATTGACAATAACAAAGTCGAGATTAAAACGTTCAAGTTATTTTAAATATGCGTCTGCGATACGCGCGAACCAGAAAATATTGTTTAAAAATCTTTGTATCCACCTTATCCCACTAGGTAGGGTCGGCACAGCTAATTTTTCTCTTCCATTCTCTTCTATCAGCCGTCATCTCAACACTCACTTCTCTCTTATCGTCATTCACACACTCCATCCATGTCTTCTTCGGTCGACCTCTTCTCCCTTTACCTTCCACTACCATTTCCATACATCTCCCAGTCACATGCATATCCTCTCTACGCATCTTTTTTTTCCCCTACCTATGCTGATAGCCATGAGAGGCTATATCAGCTTGGCCCTAACGTGTAGGTGAGCTCACGGGGCTCAAACCGGAGTGTTGCTAACACTGGCCCTAGCAAGAGCCGTGCTTCGCAGAATCTACCACCGGATCGGAAACGCGACCCACTGAGAAGATCCGCCGAGAAACTCAGTGGGCTGTGTCTATGGGTTTATTCGCTCGTCGAGCCCTTCGTCGCGAGCGACGGTTTTGACGAGGACGGTGACCGGTGCTTGTGGTACCTAAAAGCACCGTTAATGGATCGGGAGGATCCGTAATGACGTGTTTAGGGCGACGTCGACTGTTTACCATTCGGTCTACAGGATCGGGTATGTAATTTCCAGCGGCTACGACAAGAGGGTTCTCATGTCGTGCCGCTTTCTCAAAGTGCTCTACGCATCACATGTCCACACCACGCTAACCGTCCGCTCTTTAATTCGTTGATTACCGGGTCTACTGTCACCCTTCCTCTGGTACACTCATTCTCATTTTCTATCGTTTAAAAGTATTTTTTGTTGCAAGCAAATAATCGTGAAAATCTAAAATGATAGATAGCGTCGGAATGATTGGTCGACGTGTTCTCCCTCTCATTCGGTCAGTACGCGATTGAATTCCGTCGCGGTAACACGTGTCGCGGCCGCCTTACCAAACTCCCGGGACAGAGCGCATCGGATGCGCGCGTGATGTTTCAAAAGTGATTAGTGCCTTCACGAATCTGATATTCGTTAATGGTTCTCGCGATTACGAACGTAATTAATTTGATGATGCTTTTTTTTGTGTGTGTGTGTTGTGTTCTGGTGACGTGATCTTAAAACGCGGCGTGGTGTTAGAGGAATGATTATTAAAGTTTACTCTGTAAACAGATTTACAAGTTAGCGGCGTCTCGGTGATAACTAGACGCGGTCACTGTCGATAGCGGCTTGTAGTATTCACGTCTGCCGGTGACAATTCAACGTCAGACGGGTCTGATGCTTGACGGTAATGCCGACCGCAGACTCAGAGTATCAGTGGTCAGAAGCGCATTGGTACCTCTAAACTACAGGACTATACAGCTAAAAGACATCGCACACTTTTTTTCCCGTACTTATTCTGATAGCCTTAAAAAGCTATTTCAGCTTCACCCTAGCGTGTAGGTGAGCTTACGGGGCTCAAACCGGAAGTGTTGCTAACACTGGCCCTAGCAAGAGCAGTGCTTCGCAGAATCTACCACCGACTCGGAAATGCGACTGAGAAGATCCGGCGAGAAACTCAGTGGGCTGTGTCTGTGGGTTAATTTACTCGCAAAGCCCTTTGTCCGGTGACCGGTGCCTCATATCTTCACTCTCAATTTTTGTGCTGCTACTATTAGCACGAGTTTGAGTTGAGTTTCTCGCCGGATCATCTCTGTGATTCGCGATTTCGGTGCTAGATTCTGCGAAGCACTGCTCTTGCTAGGGCTAGTGTTAGCAAATTCTCTCAGGTTGAGCCCGTGAGCTCACTTACCCGTCCAAGCGTATCTGGAATATACCTCTTAACCTACCAGCGAATAGATAGATATATCATTTCCCAATTAAATATAAATTAATCTGCAATCAATGAAATGTAATCCAATCTTAGTTAGGTATATAATTCTTTTTATTTTTGTTGTTAATGCACTGTCGATTGCACCTATAATTGAGGTGACATCTGCCATGAACTTTTGTCAATTTGTCAATGCTTTGTATTGATGATCACTTTGTTGATGCGACTTAATAAATAAATAAATGGAAAAAAAAGCTAGCTATAATTCTGAGTTGCATCATTTTATCAATATATTTTTCGAGACTGTCTACTTAGGATGATTGCACGTAATACATCCGTCTACAAGTCCACTGCGAGATAGGCGCGATAATAATTGTGCAATTTTGTGTTTTTAACGTGTGAGTGAATTTACCCAAAATTATCAATATTCTATTTTAAAAAAATAATCATTATCGAAACAGTTCGTCATGATTCACATCGATTACCTACTTTTGAATTATCTTTGTTACTTGTCAGACGAAAATTTGGTGCAATTTGAACATGTATTAATATGTAAGACTAGCCGACCTGGCAGACTTCGTAGTGCCTCAATCGATAAATAAAAGACTTAAACTTTTGTATAAAATTAACTNCAATATTCTATTTTAAAAAAATAATCATTATCGAAACAGTTCGTCATGATTCACATCGATTACCTACTTTTGAATTATCTTTGTTACTTGTCAGACGAAAATTTGGTGCAATTTGAACATGTATTAATATGTAAGACTAGCCGACCTGGCAGACTTCGTAGTGCCTCAATCGATAAATAAAAGACTTAAACTTTTGTATAAAATTAACTTAAGACAAACAAAAGGTATCCGTTTGACGGGGGACACATTAAAGGAAAAACAAAATTGTTATTTTTATTTAATTCTGAGCATTTTCATATTTATCTACCTTTTAAACCTTCTTTGAACTTCCACAAATAATTCAAGACCAAAATTAGCCAAATCGGTCCAGCCGTTCTCGAGTTTTAGCGAGACTAACGAACAGCAATTCATTTTTATATATATAGATAGATAGATATAGATTAGATTAGAATGGGATTAGAATTAGGAATAGTAATAGAATTAGATTTAGAAAAACTAATATATATTTCGCGTTAGGCAGCAGTTTGGCTGTGCCTCTGACATCGCTGACTTCTATGGGCGACGCTGACCACTCACTATCAATCGGGGCGTATGCTAATCTGCCTATAAGGGCAATAAAAACGTGACATTCTTTAGTATTAACAGCATACAAGCGATGATTACTCACGCCAGATGACGCGTATACTGATTTGTCGTTGACTCTAACAAGAATACACAAATTATATATTTTTTTGGAACGAAGTTCCTTATGGGACGATGCGGAGGGGTACCCTAACCGGGAAAAAACGTCCGTAACGTAATATTTTTATTAGTAGTGCACACAGTGCACGACTTAACTTTGTAATAACTTACAAAAAATAACATATACACTAACTCTTATGCAAACAACCGTGAATGAAGTGTACCACAATAAGTTCGCACGTTACCGAATGACCGTGGGTTGTTGCGAAACCTCCAGTTTTATTTTCTCTATACCTCGAATAGAACTTAAAATTAATATTTTTTTAATAAGGAACGAAGTTCCTATCCAGTGTCCCACGACACAACACATCTTTTTTACTTCACAAACATTGAACATACTCTGATCAATATTTGAAGAAGACGCTCGCTCGGTGGGGGATGCTCCCAAAACTAATAAACAATGTCTATATCAGTATTTCCGGTTGCGGGTCTATTTAAAACTTTGACGACTTGAAGGGTAGGTTTCATAGGGGTGTGTGTTTTTTTATTGCTTAGATGGGTGGATGAGCCACAGCCCACCTGGTGTTAAGTAGCTAATGGAGCCCATAGACATCTACAACGTAAATGCGCCACCCACCTTGAGATATAAGTTCTAAGGTCTCAAGTATAGTTACAACGGCTGCCCCACCCTTCAAATCGAAACGCATTACTGCTTCACGGCAGAAATAGGCAGGGCGGTGGTTTCTACCCGCGCGGACTCACAAGACGTCCTGTCACCAGTAATTACGCAAGTTATAATTTTGCGGGTTTGATTTTTAACACTAACACTGGCCCTAGCAAGAGCAGTGCTTCGCTGAATCTATCACCAGATCGAAATCGCGACCCACTGAGAGGATCCGAGTGAGAACTCAGTGATCTCTGTCTATGGGGCGGATACCAATATTGCATCTCACAACGGACCTAGTCATTTTACTGTCTTTACATTCAGACTTGCTCACCCCACAATAAGTGACGTAAGCCCATGACGTAATTACATTTTCAAAGGAATCGTATGACTGGGTTGATTCGAGTTAAAATGAAAATGATTTCGTAATTAACTTGATATGCGAGATAAATGCCGCGATCACAAAAATATGCACCATGCAACCAAAGTCGTGTGCTAATTCCGACAATTTAATTGCTATCCTTTTTATCTAATAAACAAATTTCTATTGACTTTTAAAGTTGACTGCCTTTGACTGACAAGTAGGTCTCTGGTGACCGAATGCGCTTGTACTGTTCTGTTGGGTTTTGACGTTGAATATTATATAAAGTCGGCGTTAATGCGCCACTTTGAGAAGGCGACACGACACTAAAACCCTTTTGTCGTGGCCGCCGGAAATGACATACCCGATCCTGTGGACCGAAAGGTAAACAGTCGACGTCGCCCTAAACACGTCATTACGGATCCTCCCGATCCACTAACGGTGCTTTTAGGTACCACAAGCACCGGTCATCGTCCTCGCCGAACCCGTCGCTTGCGATGAAGGGCTCGGCGAGTAAATTAACCCACAGCAACAGCCCACTGAGTTTCTTGGCGGGTCGCGTTTCCTGTCCGGTGGTTGATTCTACGAAGAACTGATCTTGCTAGGGTCAGTGTTAGCAATACCTCCGGTTTGAGCCCCGAGAGCTCAGTTATACGCTATGGCAACACTGATATAGCCTCTAAAGGCTATCAGCATAGGTAGGACAAAAAAGGACGTGGAATTTACCGCTCACAGCCGGACACTTCGTCCACTCGCCCTCCATGTAAGATAGCTCTACTTACCACTACTCTACACAGTTCAAACTAATCACATCTGTAACAAATAATCACGTACCGAATCAGTGCAAAAAATAACAAGTGTTTTTAAAATCAACTTCGGAGATTGTTAAAAATATTTAGGTTTTTTGCCTCTACCTAATCGCTATGCTCGAAAGCCTATGGGCTTTTTTTATGATTGAACGATTACTGGTGGCCCGAAGGCCTTTCCAGTTTCACCAGGATAGGTGGGCGAGCAAATGCTCAGCCAGGAAGCCTATGAGCTATTGACTACTCCCGGGCGGGTAGGTGAGCTCACGGGCTCAACCTGGGAGGATTTGATAACACTAGCCCTAGCAAGAGCAGTGCTTCGCTGAATCTACCACCGGATCGGAATCGCGACCCACTGAAAAGATCCGGTGAGAAACTCGGTGGGCTTTATCTATGGGTTTACTTAGCTCTTTTCTCTTCGACGTAATATGCTTAGAAAGAAAGAATGTTGGCAAAGAGAATGCTATTTGATAAAACAAACAGAAGGCATAGAACATGTGATAATTCTCAATAATTACCTTTCGTGAATGCCTTATCTAACTTTGATAAAATACTGAGCAAAGGTTGCGATTAGATTAGGTATTGTCGACGTCAAAGCACTTTAAGACAGTAGCCACATGTATATTATATAACTAACTGACCCGGCAGACTTCGTAGTGCCTCAATCGATAAATAAAAGACCTAAACTTATGTATAAAATCCTTACCTTACCTTTAAACGAGCAATTCTTGTATATTAATATATACATATATAATCTGAATTTCGGTAACGGCTCCAACGATTTTCATAAAATTTAGTATACAGGGGATTTCGGGGGTGATAAATCGATCTAGCTACGATTTATTTTTAGAAAATGTTTTATTCGTGTTTTCAATAATCAACTCTTCCCGACATCTATTGGCGAATAATAATACTATTTTTCTTAATTGAGGGCAACTAACCGCTTTAAAGACACAACAAGATGGAGTTATCAAAAAAATCATCTAGTATTAAATAATATAGGACTCTTGAATAGATGTAGGTCGGATCTGTGTCTGTTTGTGTACCAGAAGAGCTGGGGATCAGTACAGAGCTGCAGAGGACTGTGTCTGTAGTAGTGTAGTAT